AAAATTTATTAATTGGTTTATCGAGATTATCGTCTCAATCGAATTGAAGGACGAATAAATATTCTTATTGTCATTAAATAATTCTGGTGATATTTTTTTAATTTTTGAAAAACCCAATCATTTCAGAGTTGTCTTTCAGAGTTGTCTTTCAGAGTTGTCTTTCAGAGTTGTCTTCCAGAGTTGTCTTTAGGAGCAGGATTATTAAACCCAGCCGCCTCCGCGGTTGATACTGAGTTGCCGGTTACTATTCCTGTCGTTAATTTATTTGAATGGTTTTTGTGCATTTTGATGAGAAAATGCACTGGCGCCTGACTTAGATTTAATTAGTTCGATTGCAGAGGGCTTCGTATTTTTTTTCTTTTCCACGAGGAAACGAAAATACGTCACAATACATACAAAACAATCAAATCTTCATCGATAACGTCCCTCATACAATTCCCAGACTTTGTTGATGGTGATAAACCCATGTTTATCATTATTCCAACAAGCAGAAAACAAATCTTTGAACTCTGGGTATGGCATGTCTGTATTACCGTGATCCTGATAAATGTGCTTCAAATTTATTTCATCCTGATGAAAGAGAATGACGAAATTTGTATTATCACGTATCAAGTGTTTTGGATCACGTGCATAGGTCTGACAAAGATAGAAGCAGAGTACACTTTGATGGCGACCCATGCAAAAGACTGTATGCATATTATCCTGTATTTTACACGCGACATCATCAAATATCATGAGAGAATTTGGATGAGTTTCCTCAGGTCTCACCACGTCTTCGTGATCATTGAATGGAAAAGAGCCAATAGCTTTTACTGTTGCCGATTATTTTTTCAAAAACTGATATTTCGGCTGATTTAAGGATTTGGAGTAAACGTAGACGTTTTGGAATGTCAGTGCATTGGGGTGGGTAATGAGAGCGAACAGGGAATTCTTGCCGCAGTTTCAAGGTTCACAGATAATTGCACCTACAGTATTGGGTAATAGTGGGCCGTGACAATTCTTTTGCTTATCCTTCTTTTTTTCGGTAATTTTGTCGAAATTCATCACTGGTAGCTTCGAACTTTGCTGCTTGAATTTGATGAAGTGTGTCTGCATCATGAAAATTCCACATTTTCGCGGAGTTTATATGTGAGATGCATTCCCATACAGCAAAATTTGCCGATGCAGTGATATCGATCGACAAATTTCACCGTTATTTTCTGATAAAATTGTCGGCAATCCTTTACCATTCAGACGAAAGAAAGACGACATATATGGATGATAATCCTTCGAGTTATCAGCGAGATTATCCCCTAATTGGCGACGAACTTTAGTCCAAATATTAGGATATCTTTAACTTTGCCTTTCGTTTGCGGGTTAAGATGGTATTTTTCTCTCTGCTGTAAGACTCTTACTCTTGGTGGATGAAGCCGGAAAGAAATTTGTTTCGCAAGTCCACACATTACTTCATTTCATACAATATTTCAAAAAATTTAGGGTATTTCTGGAAATTTCTATAGTTTCCTCACTCACGTAAATTCTCAAAAAAATGGGAGATACTGAGAGTTTCTGTTAAAAATCTCAGAAAATTTGTCACAGAAAATATCAAAATATCATATATAAAAACTGTATGGAAATTTTAGATGCTATTCGTAGAGAAACTTTGTGAACATTGAGAGATATTTCTAAGAAAAATTGAAGTGCCCGTGGTAAACAAATGAGAACCTATCGATTAAAAAAAATTTTGGTCCCGTTCGAATGCAATTTCGAATGCAATTTCGCGGAAGGTTCTGGAAGGATGATGTCATCGATGAGTCATGAGTAGGTGGCGCTACGATCGTGGAAGGTTCTGGAAGGATGACATCATCGATGAGTCATGAATAGGTGGCGCTAGGATTGTAAACACTTTTAGGGGTTGTGTTATCAATGAGTCATCGGTTAGCGCAGAGTGGGGGTTTCATGTAATTCCCCAGACAGATGTAATTCGATTTAGTGGAATGATATCATGCAGAACATTCTCGAAATGATTCGTTATTGTGAGGGGAGTGTATATCGCAGAGAAACTGTGAAATATTTCACCTATTGGGATGGTGATGACGAACGCAATGAGGGTAGCCTGATCGTGAATGAATTCTCACGACATGAGTCACTCCCATCAGTCGCTTCAGATTTCCACCGCAGGTTTGAATCCAATTTTGCGAAAAAAAGATGGTAGAATAATGTCTGTGATGAGGATAATTCCATCGATGAATCACTCATTTTGGTGGTGGGGGTTTCCTATAGTCCGGTCATGATCTACACAAAAAACAAATAAACGAATATTCTCGAATGTTCTTGAAAATCCCTCATGAGTCATTACAATTATTTAAAGTGGTCGACGGCTGCGCTATATAAGCCATTCGCTTCACATGATCTGCAGCCAGTTTGAAATCAAGTCGGGTTCATCACAATTCATGATTGTCCTGGAACTTACCATTATTTCGTTTGTCCTAGTTGTACAATTGGGGCAACTCTGCTATTATTCTCGTAGATGAGGCGCTTTATAAAAAGAGAAGAAATCATTAACACATCATTTGGGTTGGATCAGTGAACAGCATAAAGACATTTGCTGATATGTGTTGTCATAACCCTCATGTTGATCACTTGAAAAGTGCAGAAGAGAGCAATACTGATGAAGATCTAATAAATGAATATTTTTATGAAAATGCTCATCAGTTGGATGGAGCTCAACGACACCCTGAAAGAAGATCTATTTGCTCTCATTGTATGGAGCAGTTTAATGATTTATCACACATCATTGAAAGTATTGATGGATTACAAAACCTAAAGAAATTCTGTGAAAATCTGAGAGAGAAGATAAAGAATTTGGTGGCTGATGATGATGAACCATTAACAATCAACGAGATACAATGGTTGCACTCTGTTCCACCATATTGTTTGCATGAGAGTGATGTTGTAACCAAACTATTAATTCATGCACCACCTAAACTTCCACCAATTGATCGCTTCATCCGTCACATCCGCAAGAACTTTACAGATCTGTGTTCCAGCTTCAACCCTGCTCAAATACCAAAATGTTCTCCTTGCGCGAATTTATCTCACACTTTGCAGATGATTAAAGACAATTTCAAAAATATGCAAGGAATGATTGAACTTCTCAGTTTTGAATATGATGTATTTTTGCGCCCTCATGGTTATTCGATGGTGGATTTAGTCTAAAATGGAGAAAATTCGTACACCCATGGATGATCAACGAGAGGAGGGAAAGAAAATCAGTTTCAACCCTGAACCACGAGTGCATTTGATGTTGCATTGGGACTATGCACACCAATCCGCCCGTCAAGGTCTATGGGAGCAGTGAGCTCGAGACCATGATCGTTTCAAACGTCGAATTAATTTGTGTGAAAAAATATGTGACGTCACAAATAGAATGTGGAACGCTATATAAACTTCCCTTCTATGATGTAAAAATGTTTGCCGTATGAAGGACGGCGGTGCTCCATATATAGGCAAGAAAAGTGAATAGAAGAAATGGCT